GAGGATATGCAAATCCTATTTTGAACGTTTCTGAAAATTTGAGATTTTGTTCTGATCAATTTTTGAACATGATGTCTTTCTGGTGAGGGTGCATACACACACATTTCTGTGGAGATGTTTTGTCCCTTTGGCCAAGGCTACCCCCCTTCCCACCAGATATAAGTTTGGAATGGAAACACTGATTTTTGTAACATTTTGTAAAAATATATGGAAGCCTCTGCATCTGGGAAGAGGAAGCAAGAGGACATCAGTGATCTTTGATTTTCAGAACTGTTTTGGGAAGCCTCTACCTCTTCCTAAAGGAAATCTCTGAGTAAGCCTTTGCAGGCTGCTGAGAATGACACTGCTGACCATACGATCACCTGACAGGGCTGACTGTGCTCCAGCACGAGGCGGCCCAGCTCCTCCATTATCCACGCAGAAAACCTGCAGCTGTTCAAACTCATGAGCTAGATGAAGAGGTCCTGGACAGCAAAATCATTTGGAACCAACTGACAGTCCTTCTGCAGCCAAAGAATGGATTAAATTATTTGGGCTGCTCATGGCAGGAGGCCACCTGGTTTCAGCTAATGTATGTCCACCTTGTTTCCAGGACTGCCATGCATACTTTCTGGGACAGAACTCTCATGATACTGTCTCAGTCTCGGAAGGCTGGCCGGTCAGCTAAAACCTATTGGCCACAGTAATATTATACCTAATTAATGCTCTGAGCAAAAAACTTCAGGAGAAAGGGACAGCCAAATAGCTCAGTGAGTTAAAGCGCCTGCAAGCAGGCGCAGGGGCCAGGGGTTCATTCCTGGGCCTGCCATGCCAGCCCCATCCCCGGGGCATGCTGAGATGGCAAATGAGACTGGGCATGGTGATGCACATCTGTAAACCCAGCACTTGGGAGGCTGTAAACAGGAGAATCATTGTGAGTCCAATCTAGTAGTGAGACCTTGAATACTCTGTAGATCCTTCCCTAAAATACAGGAAAACAAAAAACAAAAAACAAACTTTAAGAGAAAGCCACGTGGCTTTTTTTTCCTTTTTCATTTATGTATTTGTTATAGGGTCTCACTATGCAGCTCAGACTCATAGTGATCCTTCTGTTTTCAGCTTCCCCAGCAGTGGGATTACAGGCATGCCTTACCATGCCTGGACTCTGTCACCTGGCTCAGCGCACCTCAGGAGTGAACTCTGGTCACTGCGCTTGCCAAAGCAGGCACTTAGTCCCCTGAGCTATCTCTACAGCCTGCCACCTGGCTTTTTAAGAAAGACCTATTATGATGAGTAGGATTTACTTTAACAGCCTTCAGTGCAGGACTGCTGAAGGGCCCAACTGAAACCAACACAGTAGGCTGGCTCTTGGGTCTTACTGGTATGCTACTTTTGCTGTAAAGATACCTTGGCCAGTGATAAGGGGGTAGCCTGCATGGTGAAGAGCTAACACAGCAGGCCTTAACTTCTGTCCCAGAAAAGGCCTACTTGCAAGACTGCTCCTTGCTGGCATCTGTGAAATTACTTTTCTGGCGAGTTCCCACAGTCCTGTAACAGTGGTTCACCCAAGCTTTGCAAACAACTGGCTTATGCTGAACACCTGCTTTCCTTCTCAGAGACTGCAATTTGGGTGTGTGTCAGGCAGAGGGTGCCAGCTTAACCAGCTCTCACTAAAAATCCCAGCTATGGGGTCTCTGGTAAGCTTCCCTGGACAAGACTGTGACATGTATTGTTGTAAATTGCTGCTTTGGAAATTAAACATGTCCCCTGTGACACCTCCATGAGAGGACCCTTGGAATCCTGCGTCAGGTTCCCATTTTCCCCTCTCCTTTGCTGATTTTGCTTTGTATTCTTTCACCATAATCAATCATAACTGTGAATATAAGCACATGCTGAGCACTGTGAGTCTTCCCAGAGAGTGATCGAAACTGGCGCTGTGGTCTTGGGGACTCTAACACAATTGAGAATAAGTATGAAATATTCAAGAGAAAGTAAGACGGCAAACATGGGTAAAGTCACGTGAGTGGAGTGGCAAAAGTGAAGGTGGAGAGGCAGACAGGGCCTAATCACATAAGGTCTTACCAATAAAGGTAAAGAGTTTGGATTCTGAGTATGACAGGAAGCCACGGGAGGCTTCTGAGCAGGAGGGTGAGTCAGACCTCTGTTCAAGCAGAACAGAAGGAAAAAGAGTGCAAGTGGAGACGCTGCATAAGAAGTTCTTAGGTATAGGAAATTCTTCAGTTCTCGAGATTTTTAGTAAAGAATCTCAAGTAACAAATACAGGAGGAATGACAGAGTTGCAAAGTCACCACTTTGCAAACAAAATGAAATAGACGGTGTAGAAGATACACATAAATAGCTGCCAGAATTGCTAGGCTATAGGTGAGTGAGCAACTCTGGAATGGCTGGCCTGGTGTATTGGGCTAACACCATTTGCTTCCACTGAAAAAAATCTTTATGTCAGTACAAGTGGGACAAGCAGATGCTATATGCCTCCTAATGTAATGCAGTAAGAAGTACACAATGCCATCTAGGAAGCAATTCTCAATAAAGGGATAGAACCTAATCTGCCCATGCTTTTAGAGCTTACTGCCTACTTATAGAAGATTCAGTACACAGCAGAGTAAGTTAAATAACACTGCACTACAGGTTAGCTAGACTCAAAACATGGGAAAATGTACAGCAAAAGGTCACTATTTCCTTAACAAATAAAATGAGACTTTAAAAGGGCAAGAGAACTATGTAGATTAAGAGAAACTGCAGATCTCAGCTTGGATACTGGATTAAGCAAATCATTATGAAAAAATACCTGGAACAGGTAGGAAAACCAGACAGACTGGGTATTAAGTGATAAAAGAATAAAAGCTAATTTTATGATTTTGTTGAAGAGAATTCTGGTTAAAGAACATGTAGAATGTGCTTTAAATTACTCTAGGAGAGGAAAAAAGGGCAAGATTGTGTGGTGTGATAAAAATGAACTGAAATAGCAGAATACTGACAGCTGCTGAAGCTGGGTGACCAAGACTTCTACTTTTATGAGTGTTTAAAAATCCATATTAAAAAATAAAAAGGAATGGATTAAACTAAAAGACTTAAGAAAGATTTTAAAAATAGTTAATATACGCTGGGTCAAGGTATAGGAAGAGTTTCCAAGAAAGCAAATAATTAATTTTCTGAAGAATGTAATAATATGTATAAAATATTTTCAGAAATTTATATTCACTTGAGAAAATTTACTTCTAAAAATTCTTTTCTTTGCAGAACTGGGGATTGAACTCAAGCCCTTGTGCTTGCCAGGCAAGCACTTATTCTACTGAGCCATCTCCCCAGCCCACTTTTCAAAATTCTAAGAAAAATTTCAAAGATGTGCATGAAGGTATATTTAAAATGATTTCCCAGGAAAACACTACAAAATAGTCTGTTATGCTAAATTTACACAACTTTTTATAGCCATTAACCAATAAATCATAAAAGGAAAAAAGTGTTCACAGTAAACTGCTAAGTGCAAAATGCCAGACATAAAATAGAATATATGTTTTGGCTGAATTTAAGTTTCAATTTTTTCTTCCCTTTTTTTCCTTAAATTGATACTAAAGATTGAGCCAGAGCCTTTGCACTGAACTACATTCCCAGACAGGTAAATATAATGTTATGTTACAACACTAATTATATATTATAATACATATTATTATATATTAATAGTTGAGGCTGGCTCTGCACTCGCTATGTGGGCTTGCCCAGGCTGGACTCAAGCATGAGTTGGTCCTCCTGCCTCAGCCTCATCAGTGCTAGGATTACAGGTGTGTGTCACCATGCCTCCTCTCAGGTTTATATTTTTAATTTGGGACAGGGTCTCACTAAGTCATGAAACTGCCCCTGCAGTCTGAATGTACAAATCTCTTGTAGAATTCTGGGATTACAGGTGTATGCCTGGTGCCTAGCCACAAATCAGTTTTCTTAAAATTAGCCATATATCTACAAAAAAGCCTGTAATGAGTATTCTTCATGAGGTTAATAGTTATTATTTTTAGTTGGTAGGATTAAATTACTTTTAGTTTTTTAAAGATGGCTTTTCTATATACCAGTATGGCACATTTGCTGTAAAAATTTCAAAGATGTAAACATTCAAGCCTCGACCAAATTCTATTTTGTTAATAATGAAATAGTAAGTGGCCACAGTGGCAATCTTTGAGACAATAAAAAGGATGGTAGACAGATACATCAACATATTTTTATTTTTTTTTATTTGTGTGTGTGTGTGTGTGTGTGTGTGTGTGTGTGGCCAGCTCAGCCCACCAGGGTGTGTGTGTGTGGCCAGCTCAGCCCACCAGGGGGCAGGGCTGGCTGGCATGTGGTGCTGGGGATTGAACCGCGGTCCCCGTGATTTGCTAAGCTTGTTCTAAGTAGGTGCTTTAGACCACTGAGCCATCTCACCAGCCCCTTTAACATATTTTTAAAAGGACAGGCCTTTGGGACACTATTGTTAGATCTGCTTTTGAATTTAAAAGAAGTGGTAAGAAAGTGAGAATTAGTAAAGGATTAAAGTTTGTATGCTTACATAAATTTCAAATGCAGAGGTGTAAAACAACTAAATCAAATTACAGTAATGATTAAACAAGTTCTTGCGGTAAAATCCTAACATAATTCTGAAAATGTCCTAAATGGCATGTTAGAAAATTCTTTCTGTGCTTCTACTTTGTGTATTACTGACAAATTATTTTTAAAAATTTCTCAGAAAGAAATTGACACACTGGTATCCAAAACGAAATGTCAGGGTACTAACATAGCCCATGTCCAGTCTTATCTAATTCAGCTCATGTAAGGCACGTTAAATCTGAGAGGTAAATACTAAAATACAGGAAAACCCATAAAGCAGAATTCCATAGAATTCCGCGTGGTTAATAATCAGTAAAAGCAGTCTTAAGCAACACACTCAACGGTCTTCTTCTACACTCACTAGTTTTAAACTTTCAGCAGTCTCTTTCCTACGTCAGGCAGAGCAAAGAAAACACGCAGACTACCTGGTTTCCGTACTTTCCTTGGTTCTTCATAGGCCTTTTCTGGATTTGGAGATTCCAAAAAGCTGATTTCCTCTGGGGCACCTTCCCCATCCGGGCTCTTGAGGCCGTCTTCCTCTTCCTGAATGGGAGATTCCAATTCTGATTCTTCTGAATCAACAAATATCTGACCAGCAACTACTCTGCCTGCTATGGTGTGGTCCTTTACTGATTCATCTGGCAAAGAAGTCTGAGAATATAAAGTACTTTTAGTTATCAACAGTACCAAGGTTCTCTCCAGCTCAATTTGACTATTCTTTTTACTAAGCCAGTAGTCTCCTTCAGCTCCCGGAAGAGTCGCATTCCCTCATCTCTACAGGGTTTACTTCGTGTAAGCCACATTTCTTTATCATCTGTTGAACTCTTCCAACTTCAACTTAGAAGCTACTTTCACCAGGAGGTCTTCTTCAGGAAGGGTCAGGTTCTTCCTGTACATGATCTAAGCCCTATGATACCTTTGTTACTATAACTGCCTATCTTTATCTGTATTCCTACCAACCCAGAGATTACAGCTTATAACTAAGCAATCTCCTGCCAGAAGAATCAGCCTTATGTAATTTTTTTTTTTTTTTTTTTTTTTTTTAGGGATTGAACTCAGGCCCTTGCGCTTGCCAGGCAAGTGCTTATTCCACTGAGCCATCTCCCCGGCCGAGCCTTATGTAATGTATTAATTATTGACACTGTCCTACTAATCAGTTTTGAAACTGTTTCACTGCTATTTGTTTCTCAATAAAATTGTTTTAAAAAATCAGCCTTATTTATTCACTCAACTGATAGGTGCATTAACTGCTTAGACTTCTTTTTAAAATTTATGTGAATAGAAACAAATGGCACAGTCTTTAGAAGCTGGAGATGAAACTCAGGCCCTTACTGAATCAGCCAACATGCTCATGGAAATATTTGCTATTTTCTCTCGTTCTTTTAATTTTGGTTTTGTTTTTGCTATTTTTACAGATCAG